ATTTTTCTACATGGACGAGAAAGTAAGCGATTATACGGCTTACGTGATGGTAAGTGATCACCGCTCTTCATGAACATCTATCTACAATACCGAAGAAATTGCAAAAAGAAAGAAGATAATAATAATGTTGTTAAGAAACGGAAAAGCGACTTAGCGCCCAGTGTGTAAAGTTTTTGGCTCTGAATAATAAATTAATTAATTATCTCAAAAAAGGTGAGTTTGAAAGCATTATATCTACGTTTATCTTGAACGTAATATAATACGGGAAGGCTAGCTTATTATTTTATTTTGTCTTGCATAAAGTTTGCAAATGACTAGTTCCTGTTGTAATTTTTCAGTGAGTATGCGAATTGGAGGAAAGCGCACAGTACGCAGTTTGGATAGTTTCCAGCCGCGTTATTCACATTCTGTAGTATAAAATTATAATAACGCATAGGAACATTGACTTAAAAAGACTTTGTGACTTAAATATGAGCAATATCTTATCTGTACTATCATAATGCATCATCATAATCATCATTACAGCCCCTTCACATGGTCTCTGCATCCATCGATTTCCTGCATCTCAAGGGTGATACTCGAATACCTTTTCCCATCGTTTGTCGATTCTTCATGCTACATGGCCGACCCATTGCCACTTCAACTTTCTGTGGGCTATGTCAGCCATTAGAATTACAACAAATCTTTAGGTAAGTATAATATTAGGTTAATGGATCTCCCACTAGATAGAGTGTCGACCTTCATTTATTTTTAGGTTAGGGTAGGGTTTCATTTTTATTGCCAATCATAGACTTAATACACTATGATCCTGTCACTGGCTCCTTATGACCACATTAATGGATACCAAATTGCTTAAATACGGTAAAAACACCGTGAGTTTTTTTAGCAATTTTTTCAGTTTTGATTATAATACATCTTGTTGTTAATAATTTAACTTGTACATTTAGATATTTTGGTTGTTGGGCTCTTACAATGATGTGTTCCTGAAATACAATTAAAAATTCTGGAATAATCAAGAAAAATAAACAAAGCTATAGTAGCTCATTTTGCTAGCAGATTTTGCTAGCAGAATTTTTTTACGTGGTAGTGCCACGCTGCATCTAGGTATATTATAGTTGTAGCACGAATGGGTCGGCTCGACCGGGGCGTAATACCAGCGTAAAATAGTAGCGTAATGATGCTGTGTTTCGTATGGTGAGTGTAGAAACTGGCGACCGCTTTTTACTAAAAAACGAGGCATTCCATCTTAGTCCTCAGGGGTGACAACGTATCTGCATTTTGATCCTTAATCGATGGTGGATGTAGATAATCATGGGACACAACATCTACATACCATCGGGTGGACTGTGTGCTCGTTTGTCAACCTTATTCTATAAATAAAAAAGCTAATTAAACCATGATAATAATAATTATATATATATATATATATATATATATATATATATATAGGTATTTCAATGACAATTTATTTTTAACTAAGGAACGCTAGAATAAAAAAAAACAGTGAACGTTTTATTTTTAAATACATTTTCGCAGTAAACACAAATGGGACCTGTCAACGGAAACTAGTGTGAAAGAAACGGCGTAGTAGGTAATTATTTTTGTGAGAAGTTATTTTTAAATTTATATAACTATTTAAAATGTATTGACGCGCATTTGTTTTTGTTTTCCTTTGTTTATTTGCGATTTTATGCGTCTGTGTGTTCCGAGTTGGCACAAGAACGCCGGATGGTCGTTTTTCTGGCCCGTTGCAAAACAAATCGAAAGTAGGTGACTGAAGATTGATGGAAATAATAATAGCGATTGTAAATCTATACAATATCTTTAACAGATATATTAACTTTGACCGTTTTTCATTGTTCGCAATTGCATTTGGTTTGTTTATCGATATACAATCAAAATGCAGGTGCGTTGTCATCCCTGAGGGCTAAGGATATTGCCTCGTTTCCAGAAAGTCTCCGGTTCTCTAGAATCACTCTACGAAACACTACAGCATTAAGGTGCTGTTTTACACTGGTTTTGTGAGAGAGCGTAGTCCTTCCCCGGTTGTCCTGACCCATTCTTATCACAACCATGATATATATAGTCTTAATCTATTACTTTAAATTTACTTCTTAATTAATTAAAACAGATTCATCGATATTTATTATTTATTTTAATTTTCTCCCTTCTCAATATTATTTTTTACGTGGTAGAGCCACGCTGCAGCTATATTATTGTTGTAACACGAATGGGTCGGCTCGACCGGGGAATGACCACGCTTTTACAGAATACTAGCGTAAAATAGCAGCTCAATGCTGCTTTGTTTCGTATGGTAAGTGTAGACAACCGAAAACCTTTTTTACTGGAAACGAGGCATTCCATCTTAGTCCTCGGGGGTGACAACGCATATGCATTTTGATTCTTAATCGAGGATAGATGTAGATGGATGTCTATGGGCCGCAGCATCCACTTACCTGTGAACCCTGGTGGACTGTGTGCTCGTTTGTCACCCTTATTCTATAAATGAAATTATTCGCCTTCTTTGATCCATGACATATGACAAAAATTTGGATCACATTTATAACTTATAACCTAACTTTTGAAAAAACAAGATTTTCCCAAACTTCGTAATATAAGGTCTCTTCCTTTGAAATTGCCGTTTTATGTGGGAAAATTGAAATAATTTATTAAAAAAAATATTTTATGTTATTGATTTATCGAAATAAATCAAAAAATTCTGCTGTGTTTTGTATGGTGGGTGTAGAGAACCGAAGACCCTTTTTACTGGAAACGAGGCATTCCATCTCAGTCTTCAGGGGGTGACAACGCATCTGCATTTTGATTCTTAATCGAGGTTTAATGTAGATGTCTATGGGCCACTGCATCCACTTACCATCAGGTGGACTGTCTGTGTAGGGTGACCCTAATTCTATATATAAAAAACCATCAGGTGTAATAGTAGAAAGCATTGGCTTATAAAAGTGAAAAAACTGTAGCTGAGCATTATTATGAAGAAGCAATGGGGAAGACCAGTTCACTTATCTGCTATGTTTGAACGTCAGCTTTCCCGCCATTACGTACGGTCATAACGGTCATACTGTAAGCTATAGTGAACAACACCCACAGTGGATCACCAAACTGTCACCATAAGCTTCTTCTGGTTTGGGTACTGCTAGGACTGGTTATCTGGATCTCTGTCCACAGTGATTAACGCTTACAATTGTATAGGATTTACTTCTTATCGCAGGTTTGACCTTTAAGTGAAAAGGGGACATATCCTACTGGGTAAGGCGATCAGCCTGGGGATCGACGCTTCGCATGGTATTACAGAGCTATTTTATATATACCGCAGTACTTCAGAGATTTGATAGCGTGATTTAGGCTTCGGTGCGTTTCACTTAGGACGCGACGCCACACAGATAACAATTTAGTTTAAAAATTTGCCAATCTAGCAATACTAAGCTTGAAGATTCTTCCTACAATGGAAGAGTTCTTCGTAGAGCGCTGTACTTTTAACGGGCTGATGATGTTGTAGATTAAGATGATGATGATGACAATTAAGGATCGATATTTAGATGCATGGTTGTATCCAAACACGAAATTCAGCAACCTTTACCTGGCAATAGCATTAAAAGCAATAAAAACATAAAATTTATGTTTAATGTAGCCTTCCCTGTACAATACACAACCTACACAAATACACATACAACCCATTTAAACAACCCATTTAAGAGCAACTGTATAATTCTTTTATCTACTAGCAGACCCGGAAAACATTGTCTTGCCTTGAAAAAAATAACTAAAACCCGATTGCAGCGTCAGCGATCCAATTGTGAATCTAAGCCGTCCCACCCACACACACAAAAATTTCATCAAAATAAGTCCAGTCGTTCAGTTCAGTAACAAACACACGTAGGTACACTAATTTTTATACATAAAGATAGCCTATACAAAATAGCTACGTGACGCTATTCCACAAGTATGCCTTCTCATTTTTGATCTGAACATATGCTTCCTGTCAGAAATGACGTTCCTGGGCCATTAGCATCAGTCGTGTCCCGTTTCACAAGTTTGCTGTCACTTCATTTATCTCCCTATTTCCTGTTTACTGGTTCGAAGCTGCCATCTGATAATCTTCCTTACTAATATCCACATTATCTTTATTTCCTACCGCCTTTAAGGTATGTTCTAACTATCCTTGTTGTGGATTTTATCATGCAGAGAAAATTTGAGAATTCCCTTGTTCGTTGCTTGTTGTGTGAATGACACTAACAATTTTATACAACCAGCGATAGGTAATCGTAAGTAAGTGTATAATCCTATTCAGCTTAAAATAATACTTATAATCTTTTGAACGTTCAATTTGTAGTAAAAAAATACAACAATTTATTGTAGAAGTCGGACGGACCGCAATTAATTAAAGTGCAAAACGTGAAGTGAAATTAAAGTAGATAACCACAGACTTAGAATATACTGGAGTATATTCAAGTCTATGTGTAATAACATTATTGAAATAGTTGTATCAGTAGTAATAGAAATGCAAAAACAAATTAAGACTAAAATTTCATAAGCTGTTTTTGTCAAATGCAACTCAAATTAATTTGAAATAGATTTGAATTTAACGTAACCGGCGTAAATGTTATAGGAAAAAAGGCGTATAGAGCGTGTATTGTATTCTGAAGTATTTACGGCCGCTATATGTTTCGCTGGAGTATCCAGCAATGAAGCAAATATAGCCCAGCTTATCATTCTCCAGAATTGAACCTACAGAGCCGGACTCTAACGTTATACACGTTTTGAAAAATTTACTCTAATTTTTACCATAATTTTGGAAATTTGAAAAAATACTCGTTGACCCACTGACTAATACGTTAATACATATTAAATCATTAATTAATTAGATAATGGTGCAATGAACTAAGACTTGGCAAGGACTTCGTATAAAAAGATGTAAACAAAACTGACAACAGATCGCGACTCTAAAGATTCCAAACTGTCAGGCGATTAATATCAATGCGATGCCAGAACGAAAAATAGAATGTCGTCGTCTTAATATAATACATATTGGCTTGGTACCTCAATTGTACTCAGTTGCTTTTGTAACGTCTTCGTGTAAACTACAAAATGATCGACCAAACTTCGGAGGGCAAAAGTCTTGCGGCTACCTACTGCATACTCCTACTATTGCTCGTGGCACTATATATGTTGTATTCAGTATTTTAAAAGCCGTAAGTAAATTGAATTTATCCAACGTTTCTAACAAAAATGCTTCAGCCATCGATAAGTTTGTCAACGCTTTGATATGAGTTTCCCTAATATCATATTTTGTGTGCTATTTAATGGGCCCTAATACAACGAGATTATTTTTATTTCAACTGTGTTTTCAAATACATTTTTATTTTTCATATTTTTTAACGTTTAGCGTTTTTTTTATCGATGTAAACCTTGACTTTGGATTCACATGATGGGGATCATGATCATTTGTGTTTTATTTGAGGATGTAATATTATTGATGTTTGTATAGTAGCCATTTTGACCTCTCGTGGTGACCACTCGTTTTTACTTTATTATTTATATTTAGAAAATCCTAAGATGAAATCTCTTGGCGTATATCACTTTGAGTATACAATGTCCGTTCATTGTTTAAGTTATTGGAAAAAGCGGTCTCGAAAATGTAATTACTCGAACATCCTTTTTCGATTGAGTCTGGCCCAGTGCCGTGACGTATGAATCCCGCCCAGGCCACTCGAGGATTCTCCAGCGGTCAGTTGTGCCTCCTCCGCTGGATTGCAATCATGCAGATCAACGCGGAGACCGTCAACCTGGCCGCCACCTACATGATTCTCGTGATCCTTCTGTTCTTGCTGTGGCTGCTCTATTCGACGGTCTTGTAACTGTCGCAGTAGCTCCCGCATTCGTAAGTTTTAGTGCTATAATTAAGGAAACAAATTAAGAAAAAGGACACAGTGTTCTAAAGTAAGGAATTAAGGTTTTAACTTCTTATGTTCTTCACCTGACATTGACCTACTCATTACGTAATATATTAATAACGACGGTCGACTAAATTTTGAAAGAAAACGTTTTAAATTATCGTTGCTTGATTTTTATTTAAAGATATCAAATTTCTATAAAGATCCTATACACGAAGTAAGTCGGTAATATAGTAGTTTTTGATTTCTTTATTGTGTTTGTTAAGGCCGAGATACGTTTGAACCATTATTAAATTAGCTGTCCAAGTCCGATTCCAGAAGGCGCTTGTCAATGTCTCCGTTCTATTATTGTACATTCATATTTATAAAATTAGATGATATCTGATGTGAAAGGGGAGTGGCCTCGCGTAGGCGAACGCGCTCGACGACAATTTTGTGGAGCTACTCAGTTTTCTGGAGAAACTTGTCAAGTGCACAGGTCGGCTATAGTTCCAAAATGCCGTACCACGAGACGACGAGCCTCATCGCCACCTATCTTATCTTGGTGCTTCTCCTGGCCAGCCTCTGGTTACTCTACTCGGGAATGTTCTGAGGTGTTGTAATGTGTGACGCTTGTGGTGCTTTATAGCGTGTGATAAAGTCATCAAAATTTGTTATATCTAGGAGCTTTATAATATTATGAACCTTTTTATACTTTTGTGGTTAAGTGGATATCCGGGCAGCAATAAATTTAAAGAATAGGTTCTTAGCGATCTATGCGGTCGTGCTATACCCGAACGACTGAGCTCGTTCACCTCTGAAAAATTAACGTAATCATCTTCCCGTATTCCTTTTTCTTCATAACTTGCCCATTTTGAATTTTTTTTTAAATCAATATGAGAAGGATCGACTTTGTATATACCTGTATGCTATTTTATTCTTTATGTTCATTAAAAATGCTGGATGCTGGACGAAGTTTCTTCGTTTATAAAATGATTAATATAGGGAAAAATATAATAAAGGAACATGGCAATAGTAGATTTGATTGTAAAATATATTTGTGCTAGTTTGATTATCCAGGGAGCTTGTATGGACTAAACGTCGCCCAGGTATCCTCTTATAATACCTTGAATTGTCGTTTTATTAAACTATCTTCTCCAAATTATAATCAACATTGGAATCTATTTTAATTTTTAAGCAGATCATATCATAATGCATGTTAATAGGTTGAGTCAGTTAATGGTTGTTTATATCCATATAGCACGTGAGTGTAATATGGTCATACGGTTGATATGGACAATTTCTTGTTACTCAAACACAGCTTTGTTAGACGACAGCTTTTCATCGGTCAATCAAATAATAAAGGGTGAAAAGGGCGACTTTTTATCGACGCCATTTTGACAGTTGATATTACAGTAAATATTTTAGGTGATTTTAGTATGGTGTAGTGTAGTTATTTTTTTTAAATAGATTTTTCGAAGTGTTCCTAATTATTACCAAAACTTGTTTGCAATTTTTTTCTTAATATATTAATTAAAGTATACGACTTTTGTGTTTTTGTCTCTGACCTTTTCCTAGTTTTGGTTTTATATGGTGGCAAAGCTTAACGTCACCATATTACCGTCACGTGCCTATATGTGTTTAAATATTTAAATATTCATCTATCATTCATTTCACACCCGTCTAAGAATTACTGAAAATAAGTTATGTTATTGCCGTCTAATGTCTTTTCCAATTTCAAGAGTTTCTGTTCCCTTACCTGAAAGCTTACACAGCTCTACTTTAGTAAGTAGATTATTATTTATGAATGACGCTTATTATTAGTTTGCATTTAAATTAAGCTGTAAGTATAAGTTTTAAGTAAGGTGATAGATATATTGTTAATACACATTTACATTTACATGTGTGTGTATATATTAAAGTTCATATATTACAAAAATTCGTTAAAGAGTATTTAAAATCTTACGTTCAATCAACATTGAATTTTTTATTTACTAAAATAAATGTTGCTGTTACTACATCAGAAATAGCGAGACATTGCACCGAATAATCGAGAGTGAATCAATTATGTATCTATAATTAGACTTGGATACATTTCAGGTATTGTATAGATTAAAAATATTTTATTATAGTCTATATTTATTACTATTGCTAACTATATATTACACAAATGTAAGCAATGCAAAAGAAATAATTGGTTATAAATTTAAATTTTAAACAGCCGGCGCCTACGTTCGTACAGAATTAACAATATCTGAACTTACATTATCAAAATAATTTCAATGAAATTTTATCTTATAAAATGCGATTCGCTCGCTGGAAATATTTATTATGAAGATGAAATTTCTACGCTCGCCAAGTTTTTTTTAAAAACAATAATTAAAAAAGTAAACGCCATCGTGTATAGTAAAACATGTCAGTTTTAGTTGCCGAATGAAGCGTGTTATAAAATTTAAAAAAGAAGAAATTGTCTTTTGATTGGTTGTTATATGCATAGAAACTGTGAAATTAAAAATTCTATGGTTAAAATAATAATAATTTAATACATAAACCTTACGTTCCTAACGCTGTCAGAACTACAGGACATGCTGATCAGTCCAAATGAGTACATGCGTATGCATAGATCTGAAAAAGACGAAAGTTATGCTCAAGGGTCACGTCATGCTTTCAATCTCGTTTCAATTCTTCAAGTTTCAACCACTGTCGCTGGTGGAATTTATCTATCACGGGCAGATATTGCAACTTGGTAAGCAAAATTTCGAGAAGGAAGCCGATGAGAGGATTCAGTGGGGCTGCAAGGAACTCCGTCTCGGTTTCTTCATAAAGTCTCACATGAAGTTTTCAACAAACCACATTATGTACAAGGTTCTGAAACGTATCACAAGCTCAAAGTCGCACAGCAAGTAATGCAAAGAGCTATGCACGGTGTTTTTCTGGTAGATAAAATCCGTAATAAAGAAATCCGCCAGAGAACTAACATTGCTGAGTGTTTGTAAACAGAAATAGTAATGGGCTGGTCAAGTCTGTCGCAGAAGTGACAAACGTTGGAGCAGACGTGTCATGGAGTGCACACCGCAGGCATATGTACGGGTTGCTTGTAGGAACCGGATGTGTGACGCTGGAGACCGGGCTAAGTCACGAATATTGGGAGTGGCCTATGCCCATCTGTGGACTTTAATACGCAGGCTGATTATGATGACGACAACCTAATGTAAAATACGATGCCACATGTCAAAACATCTCCGTTTTTTCATTGACAAATAATTGTTATGTTGCAAACATGATAAAATCGGTCTTTTTATAAAAAGTATTTTTTATTAGATTTCGTTCAAACTAGAGTCTCTGTTTCAATAAAAATCTCTGTGGAAAATATGCAAGTTAAAATATAAAAGTTGACGGCCAAATGTTACATTTTGCGAAGAATATCTATGGAGCCGCAGCTAAGGGACAAAACAAAGTCAAAGATTTCTTTCGTGACAAAGAATCTTCTTTAAACCCAACCTGACGGTTGGGTTTAAAGATTCTTACTCAATAAACCACGTTTCGTAATAAAACCGAATAATTCTACGTTTTTTAATTGTTGGCACTTTTGAAATTGTAAAATATACTGTGATTAACGAATGAATTAACCACCCCAGTTCCGCAATTCAGGATATTTTTAAACAAAGAAGAAGTTTAATTTTGTGGAGCGCTTTTAGAGTTTCGTAGCGTTACCTAATTGGTGCGCCTTATACCTACATGTAGGAGGGCACAAGTAGCAGATTATCTCAGACCTTTATATCCGCGATTAAGAATATGTCATCCTAGTATGTATCCAAGAATATATGCTCAAGAGTCACGTCTCAAGAGTCAACTGGCATTGTGATACTTGAGGAGTGTCTGGTTACCAATAAAAAGGGTCTCCGATTCTCCTCACTCATCACATGAAAAACAGCGCACCATGCTGCAATTATACGCCGCTATTTGTATTCTATGAGAGCCATTCGTACTGCTGCCACAATACAAATTCTAATTACTTACAAGTTGAACTATGATAAAATCGTTTTATTTTTAATGTGTTAGATTTAAAAATATACAATGTTTATTTTTCGTTTTTGCTAAATTAACAGTAAAGCCTAGTTTTGTTTAATTAAAGTTAATTCTATTTTGTTATAATTCCATTATTATTATCTTTTAAATATTGTCATATGTAAAACATTGTTTGTATTTATGCGCAAGGCTAGCATTTGCGCGAAGGTTATAGGCTTAGTACAATTAAATTACCGTTGGTTGATGCTTGGTTCTTCCTCAAATATACGACTTAGAGATCTTCAAGAAAA